GTTATTTCGAACTTGTCAAAATGTTAACCTGTCGTCGTTCGATCAAGGTCGAACTCTTCTTTTTGGCGAAGGACCTTGGCCTTAAAGGGTATTATTTCGAACTTATCGAAATGTTAACCCATCGTCGTTTGATCAAGGTCGAACTCTTCTTTTTGGCGAAGGACCTTGGCCTTAAAGGGTATTATTTCGAACTTATCGAAATGTTAACCCATCGTCGTTTGATCGAGGTCGCTTCTCTTTGGCCAAGGCCCTTGTCCTTAAAGGGTATTATTTTGAGCTTGTTGAAATGTTAACTCGTCATCGTTCGATCGAGGTCGAAGTCTTCTCTTTGGGGAAGGCCCTTGGCCTTAATGTAACGACCCGGCCGGTCGTTTTAAGAATTAACACCCCGATCCCCTATTAATTGCATTCCCTGTGTTTGTTTCTGCTATTTTGATTTGTCGGGGTATTCGGTTTTTGAGTTTCGGAGTGTTTTGGGACACTTAGTCCCTAAATGAGAGCTTAAGTGTTATAATTGGACCGTAGTTGGAACAGTGTATAGACGGCCTCAGAATGGAATTCTGTCATTTTCGTTAGCTCCGTTGGGTGATTTCGGGCTTAAGGGCATGTTCGGATTGTGTTTTGGATGTTCGTAGCTAATTTAGACTTGAAATGCCGAAAGTTGAATTTTTGAAGTTTCCAGTTTGATAGTGAGATTTTGATATCGTGGACGGAATGGAATTTTGGAAGTTGGAGTAGCTTCGTAGTGTTGAATGTGGTGTGTGTGCAAATTTTCAGGTCATTCGGACGAGGTTTGATAGACTTTTTGATCAAAAGCATAATTTGAGAGTTTTGAAGTTCTTAAGCTTGAATCCGATGCTAATTGGTTGATTTGATGTTGTTTGAGGTGTTTTGAAGATTCGTATAAGTTTGAACAGTGGTATTAGACTTATTTGTGCTTTTGGTTGAGGTCCCGAGGGCCTCGGGGTGATTTCAGGTGGTTGACGGAAAGATTTGAAAATTTAAGTTGTAGTTGAAGTTTATGACTGCTGTCATAACAGCATCTGCGGTAGAGAGGCCGCAGGTGCGACTCCTGCAGATGCGAAATCAAGCCGCAGAAGCAGCCAAGAAGTAGTAGAGCAGGGACCGCAAAAGCGGATGGGTTACCGCACCTGCGGGACAGCAGATGCGGAATCTGGGTCACAGGTGCAGAGATGGAGTTTTTAAGTGAGAATCGTAGAAGCGGTTCCTCAACTGTTGAAACGGTAGGGTAGAAGCTGTATTTTGACTGCATATGCGAATTTACTGGGCAGAAAATAGGAATTTCGATGGTTTAGTTTCAAAAGTTAAAAAATTAATTTGGAGCTCGGGAGATGGCGATTTCGGGAGGAATTTGAAGAAGAAATCAGTGGGTAACGATTCCTAATCCCTTTCTAGTTGTATTCCTATAATCTATTCTTAGTTTTGTGCTTTAATTTCAGATTTGGGATGAAAATTGGGGAAAAATTTGGAGAAAGTTCTTAGACCTAAATTTTGAGTTTGAATTGGGAATTTAACATTGGATTTGGATAATTTTGGTATGGTTAGACTCGTGAGAGTATGAGGATTCTAAAAATGTAAATTTTATCCGATTCCGAGACGTGGGCCCGAGGGACGTTTTGGTTATTTTACCTAATTTCGCATATTAGCTTAGAATTTATCAGTTACTTGAAGTGTTATTTACATTATACAATTGAATTGAATAGATTTGGGCCATTTGGAGTCGAGTACTCGTGGTAAGAACATGGTTTCGGGTTGATTTTGAGCCGGTTCGAGGTAAGTGGCTTGCCTAACCTTGTGTGGGGGAACTCCCCTTAGGATTTGGTAATTATTAATATTTGAAATGCCGTGTATGTGAGGTGACGAGTGCGTACTTGTGCTAATTGTTGAAAAATCCTGTTTTCATTAAGTAATTTAAATGGTGTTTTTCCCTTCCTGCTTATACTACTTGAAATTTAAGCCTGCGGTTAGCTTAGGAAAATCATGTCTAATTGAACTAATTGCTTTATTTGCTCAAACTGACTTAGTTGTATTATGTGTAGCATGCTAGGTTAGAATTACTTGTTTTATCTTTGTATGAAGTTAAATTTAATTGAGTATTCTTCGTGTTGCTGCTGTGTGTTTATTTTGGGACTACGGGATGGTATCCCGGAAGATCCCCTGCATTTATATTGGTTTGGACTGAGGTGCGGGATACCGAGAGATACCCAACACGTATATTGAGGATACTAAGAGATCCTTGGGATACCTAGAGATCCCTAGCATATATTGAGGATACTAAGAGATCCTCGGGATACTGAGAGATCCCCGGTTGTTACTTCTGTGATGAGCGGTATTCCTTTTGTGATTATTTTACCTCTGTTATAGTTATTGTCATACCTATTATCACGTGTTACTTCTTACTATTAGTATTTAATTATATTATCGTATCCTATACTGTTATATCTTGTTTTTCATTTAACCTCAGTAGGGCCTTGACCTTCCTCGTCACTACCCGACCGAGGTTAGGCTTGACACTTACTGAGTACTGCTGTGGTGTACTCATGCCCTTTCTGCGCATGTTTTTTATGTGCAGATCCAGGTACTTCGACTCAGTCCTATCACCCTTGAGGTGAGGCGACTTTTCCAGAGACTTCGAGGCATATCCGCCGCGTCCCAGACCGAGGAGTCCCTTTCTATTCTCTCTTTATGTATTAGCCCTTCTGTATTTTTTTTGTTAGATAATCTGGAGTTAGATACTTGTAGACATTCAAAAATTTGTGATTTCATGAGATTCCAGGTTTTGGCAAATATTGTTTAGTTTTGTGAGTTTGTATTGTATATGCCGAGCGACATCTTAAACGCTTCATTATGTTAATTCGGTAGTTTATGGTTAGTTTTATTATGTTATTTCTATTTTCCGCAAATTGTTAGGCTTACCTAGTCGTAGAGACTAGGTGCCGTCATGATAGTTCACGGAGGGCGAACTGGGGTCGTGACACTTAAAGGGTGTTATTTCTAACTTATCGAAATGTTAACCCGTCGTTGTTCGATCGAGGTCGAACCCTTCTCTTTGGCGAAGGTCCTTGGCCTTAAAGGGTGTTATTTCAAACTTGTCAAAATGTTAACCCATGGTCGTTCGATCGAGGTCGAACTCTTCTCTTTGGCGAATGCCTTTGGACTTAAAGGGTGTTATTTCAAACTTGTTGAAATGTTAACCCATCGTCGTTCGATCGAGGTCGAACTCTTCTCTTTAGCGAAGGTCCTTGGCCTTAAAGGGTGTTATTTCGAACTTGTCGAAATGTTAACCCGTCGTCGTTCGATCGAGGTCGAACACTTCTCTTTGGCAAAGGCCCTTGACCTTAAAGGGTGTTATTTCGAACTTGTCGAAATGTTAATCCGTTGTCGTTCGAACGAGGTCGAACTCTTCTCTTTGGCGAAGGCCCTTGGCCTTAAAGGGTATTATTTCGAACTTATCGAAATGTTAACCCATCGTCGTTCGATCGAGGTCGAACTCTTCTCTTTGGCGAAGGCCCTTGGCCTTAAAGGGTGTCGTTTCGAACTTGTTGAGATGTTAACCCGTCGTCAGTCCATGTTTTTGGGAGAATCAGGCATCCCTTGGGGGAGTCCCAGTTCGCTCGATATTGTTTGCGTCGGAGAGTACAAAACGTTGCTGTTTCGTTTAGGTTTGTTTTGTGCACACATTTGAGTTTCCTTGTCTGATTCCTGCCTTCCGGCGTGGAGGTGTCATCGGCGGACGATATTTTCGGTTGTCTTGTAGTAGTTTCCCATTCTCTGATTGAGATGTTTCTTTGCTCGCTCACCCGCGTGCCACTTGTGTTCCTACTTGAGCAAAGAACAGAAGGTGAGTCAAAATGATACTTTCCTTACCTCCATCCGATAGATTGGTGAATGAGAGTAGGTTTGTAACGTTGCTCGTTTTGTCTGGTATTTCGACGGTTTATGGGATGATGATTTCTAAATTCGATGACTATATTCAGCTCTCTTTCCCTTTCTATGCTGCATCTTTGCCCTGCGTGGGTTGGGCTTTGCCTTAACGCTCCTTTTGGTGGGTAATCGTGTTCCTTGTCTTTGATCTGGAAGAGACTAAGAAATTTCACTAAGAAATCCCCACAGACGGCACCAAATTTTTTGACTCAAAAGATATTGGAACCATTTTGAACAAATTAATTAAAGAAGATGAAGGGATAAATCTTAGTCAACCATAATAAACTCTAGATCAATAAACTAATTGAAAAAAAATACATAAGATGAGATAGAGGTAACCAATCTTATTGAAAGACTTTCCATTGCGGATCCCATTAATCAATGGAAGAGACCCTTTTACATATTTCCTTGGAGAGTGCTTCGTTCTTCTTCTCATTATGAAGATTACATGGGAGGGGACTAGGGAGAGAGGAAGAAGTGAAAAACTGCCCCCCTTTACCAAAGGTTTTCCCCTCCTATATATAATCATAGGACCTTTGCTATATACTTGGTTTGATGCTCCCTAACACTATGCGTGTCTTGGTCATCCCTTGAACGTTGTTTCTTCTGACTCGACGGGTATCGTGAGCGCAAGATGTAGAATAGACCATGTCGTCTTTCAATGCCTTGTCGCTTGGATGAGATATTGGTCAGCTTGACCGCAATGGTCAGATTTTGACCAATACATATAGTTAAATACTACTCCAGTAAAATCTATTTAAAACATAGAATTAAAAGGGAAAAAGTATTATTCTTTCAAATAATAATAGTACCAAACAATTTGAGATAGAAAAATTAAAAGGAAAAAAGCAGACGGCGGGCCTTTACGCTAATTGGTATTGATTTGGATAGCGTAAAGATAATCCAAAACCTCCATTTGTACAACTCTTGTGAAATCATGGAGTTAGTCACACTTTAATCGGGTCGTTGTTTCAATATTCCTGCCCCACCATTACCCGACCCGATCCAAACCCAACAACTCTCATAATTCTGCATATAAATGCAGTATGAATTAGAACATGCCAATGCCATAACCCCACACTGGGCACTGAGTACTGCACAAAGCAGTTCTTGTTAACTCTTCTCTCTTTACCCTCAATCATCAAAGCACACAATCTGACGAATCAAAGTAACAAACGCGGCAAATTACATCACTATTATTAATACAGAGTGATAAAGGATTGATATTTCCAAATCTTCTATTTGTGAATTTATCGATATTTCCCATTACGAAAGGCTAGACTACTGATCTTCTGACATCGTGCTTTCCACTACTACTACTACTCTTTTGCTCACTGCTTTTTGCTCTCAACTTGTTAGAGTAACCCGACCCCATCAATCTTTTTCCGCGTTGGGATCATCAATTTACACCACTCGGATCTGATACAATCAGCGTATGGGCCTGTCTCTCACTCTCTTCAACGTTGTTTGTTCTATTGTTCTTTTATCTCTCTCTCTTATTTTACCTTACCATATCCATAAGCAATAGTTTCATTCAAACTATTTGTACTATCTCGATTTTTGGATGTAGCTTCTGTTATGCTATTTCCCTGACCAATTTCTACTCATTTTTACAGATTCTTTATTATAGGTGAGAATGGGGAAAGCTGCTAGAGACTGGGCGCAGATCTACTCAATTTATGGTCTTGACGATTGGCACACCCCAATTTTCCTCTTAATTCATGCCATTTTCTTCTCCGTTCTTTCAGTGCTTTTTCTTCTCTACTTCGAACCCATCTGCTACTTCCTCCAGCATTTCTTACTTGGTGCTAGCGCCGCTCGTTTCACCGCCGGCTTCACCGGCTCCGTCACTGCTCTCTCCGCCGTCTGCCTTTTCTTCGCCGCCGGCAACATCTTCTACTCCTCTGTTTCCCTCCACTGGGAAATGGCACAGCGCATGGTCAACGCCGTTACTGACTGGTCAACCGTCAAGCATGCTCTCGACTTAGGCTGCGGCCGCGGCATCCTCCTCAACGCCGTCGCTTTACAGCTTAAGAAATCTGGATCATCGGGTCGCGTCGTCGGGTTACATCCGACTCCGACCCGGTCTCTCACCACTCTCCGAACTGCAGGGCTTGAAGGTGTCCAGGA